TTTCGTTCACGAAAATATCTGATTCGCGATCTGTTTATTTCTTCAGGTCTCGTGGTTGAACGATTTATGTATCAGCGTGTTTCAAAGCGTCGCGACGCTCCAGCTAGGTCACGTTGTTGAACACGATCCTTGACGAATCAATTATTTTCCCCTTGACGCGGACATGCGAGGAGATGTCTATTTTCTTACGTGTTCTCTCTCGAGCTCTTACGAAACGTGTACCGTGACGAGGTTCGACGCCATCGTGAGGTTCGCTGCCACCGATTCGAGTCGTTGAAACTCGACGTACTATTTCAGCGTCGATGATAAATATTTCCGTTGTTCCTCCAAGTTCGATGTTGCGTTCAGCAAAGATCTTCCTCTATTTCTCAAATATCATTTAAACTTTGTATCATCGGAATAGAATGCCTGCTAATAGCAAATGATTTTTTAATTACTGGCAGGCTAGTAATGTAACGTTTTAAATATTAAGATATTCGAAAGAGATACTGTAAATTAATTCTCATTAGCTGTATCAGCGATCATTGCGATGTTCTGATTATTTGGTAAAATAGATTTTGTAGAACAACAACGATAGATCGTCGCGACGATTTAAAAGCATACATAAAAGAATATTAATATAGAAACTGGTTTCGTGAATCAACCCTTGCGAACGTACGTTCGATTTGTGGAACGAGGAGAATATTATGTCCTTTGACACGTGTTTTTTCTCATGTTTGACACTAGATCGAACGAAAGATATTCTTAATTTATCAATGATTATTAAACTCATATTTTTCCGAATATTAGGCCATCGCATAATTATATATTACGCTGGTTGAGTTTTGTGTAAAACGATGAATTCTTTACAATTCTTTATGTTCTTATGTTAAATTTTTTATTTATATAATTTATTGAAACATAATGAATACTTTACTGCCGATATTTTATATATATTTTTCCACGTAACGTACACACTTTTGCATATTCAATTTTCTCGCAAATGCATAAACGTGTATGCAATTCGCTGATTGCACAATCTGAAGTCAAAAAAATGTTGCTCGTGGATCTGGCGAATTTGCATCAAAATATTCTCAATTCAGAATCTCTGTGGAAGAGGAGAAAGGAGGAGGGAAACAAACGAACAACGGTTCCTTTGCTTTCAAAGATCGTTTACAGAAGACACGGCCAGGTCAGAACTCACCTAGCGTAATTATCTCAGAGCACAATACACCCTTTGACGGGAATACGTTCGTGTGACTTTTCGTGATTTACGATCATCCTGTGCTTCGTTCGTTTATTCACAATTCCCTGAACGAACCGGTTATTATGGCAGCGCCAGCGCAATTAACGCAAGGTTAAACTCTCGAGAGACATCTTTTCGTCCGTTTGCTCAAAGATTTCGGGCCTTCACAATGGTTGCGTTGGATACACGGGACAAGCTTTCGACTTCTATCTCAATACGTCTAGCTTTACAGACGAATTCTACTCTAATCATTTAAACTACGTGGTTCTGAAGTCAGACTACTCGTGTGTTAATATAATTTGATTGAAGTATATCGCACGATGGAGTTTCTATCGAATCGAAATTTCAAGAACTATTTCTTAAGGACAAGGGACTTTCCTCGAAGCAGAAGATCGCGCTCGTCGTTGGACATTTTTCTGACCGTAATTCGGGAAATCCGTAACGGTAACTCTAGCCCCCCGGCCGCGCGGTGGAAACCAGAAACGACGCACAGGAAACTGCAGGAGAGGAGAGAACGAAAACTGCGGAGAGAGAGAGGAAGTCGAGAGAGGCGCAGGAAAGGAGCTTTGGTTTTCGTATATCCCGTTTGGAAGGCCCTCTCGAATGAGCTTCGGCCTTCGTTCGTGAGAGGCCGGACGCGCACAGTGAAAAGACGAACAGAGAGGGAACGCGTAAGAGAACGGACCGTGGAAACGAAGAAAGAAACGCACACATACAGCGGTGTGTCGACGAGACAGAGAGAGAGAGAGCAAGAGAGAGAGGGGGGGGCCGCGGAGAAAGAGAGCGAAACGACGAAGGAAAGGGCCCCCCGCGCCTCACAATGCAGCCTGATTTATGGCCCGGGCGCACATACATAGAGTTACACACGATATCATAATACCATTAATTCTTCGTCAAATTCCCCGCTGACTGAATCATACTGGCCACGCAGTAAATCACGCGGGGCGACTAATGTGAACGCGACCAGCGCTCGCTGTCTTATCTCCTTTGAACCATGGGGGCAGGTGGATCCAGTCTCCTGGACTCCGCTGAATTACTCTTGTCCTGGCCTCGGACCGGCCCTCTCTTCCCCCCTCTCTCCTTCTTCCACGTACTCTTTCCTCTCTCGCCATTCTCTGCCACGGGGTCTAACCTCCGTGGCGCGTTCCCTCGTCCCTGCGCGGAACCAACGCACTCTATTTGTCTCCTCTCGTTTCCGTATTTTTATAGCCGACGCCCGGTTATCCGCAGAAGAATCAGCGAGCCGATTTCACGAGGGACTACTAACACGGTAGCGGCAACCACTTGTGCCCCGGACACAGTTGGTTTATGTAATCGCGCGATTTCACACACAGATCTCCTGGTTCACGATGCGATAGTACACTATCTTCTACGAGAGAACTTGTGGGCAATCGTCACTGGGGCTAGTCTCTTCGACAGACAGATACTTTCGTGTCTTATCTTTTCATTTTTCTGGTCACTGGTGTCTGTTGAAATTGGTGTTTGTTTGAAAGGCGTTTGTGGGATCATCAATTTTGATGGTGTTTTGCAAGAAGTAACAGCCTTTAGAAGAAAAGCTTTTACGATTGAAATTTTCTCGAATAGCGAGGTTCAGATTTGAAATACCCACTTTTATCGGGAAAAGAAATTTGATTGATCGAAATTTCGTATTTTTGAATATGAACCTTCTCTGGAACGATTAACTTATTCTGTCTGTCGTTTACAATTCTTATTACAAATTTTTTAATTCAATTGTTTCAATTTTCTGTCAACAAAAAATTCCTATTGAGTATGAATCTTTTATTCACAGCCAGATTCCCTTGTCAACGTTTAACATGTTTCTCGTTTATTATCTGCTCGTATCAGTATCCAGGCTAATCCGCATCTATCATCTATCCACCTTGACTCCTTCCTGAACTTTCGTCAAAGTTTCAATATATTCTACTTTTACTTCTGACAGAATGGTCACGTAATTTTCACCTTCTTTCGAAGAACCGGAGCTTGTACTATCGATTATTTTCCGCTATTCTTGCGCGCCGCTTGTCCTTACACGTCGGCCATTCCGCGATAACGGGAAACATTTATAAACTACATTCGTCCCGACGAGTAAATTACTCTAAATTGCCCTCCGATAAATTTTTTTCACCTCGCACCGGCTTCCATTAGCCGTCCCATAAAGTGACACGTACTTATTAATAAGTAAACTAATCGAGTAAACTAATTAATTTGTGCTGCAATTATTGAGAAATTCTCCACAAACAACAGAAATATTCGAAACGGTCAAAGAAAATTTTTTACTGGTCACGAGCGACACAAACGTCGAATGGTGAATATTGCATAGATTTTAATAAGAACCTTAACTTTAGGATCTTATTATTAGATAATAGCATTCAGCAATGCCGAGAATAAAGATAATATGCAAGATAATATAAATAAATAGGGTGTGGCCAAATGACATGTCAAGTGGGCAAGAGGTTGTCGTGAAAAAATAAGAAGATGTACAATAAAATTCTTCTACCCGACGCTTAGTTTTCGAGAGAATCGAATTGGAAAATTTACTACGTATTTAAGAAGATTCTCCATGCTATACACTATGTAATGTCTATTTAGAATACTCTGTGATCTCTTCTATTGTATTATTAATATTGTATTGGCAAACTAAGTAACTTGTGTCTCGATTTATCGAACGATTAACGATCTTCCACGAACGATGAAGAATACTCGTTATATTTGAGGCATCGTCTTGCTCCACGAAGCAACACGCATTTAGTATCGATAGAGTAACCAACTTGTCCTCCGATTTACCAAATGATTATTAAAAAAAAACCTTTCAAAAACGATCAAGAATACTCGAAACGATGGAGCAAGATTTTTCTTATTAACCACTGGGTTCTGAACACCGCGGTGCGTGATATACGCTATCAGCGACGAGTATCGAAATTTATAATCGCTCCGCCGATATATTTTAGCAGTGATTTAACACGCTGTTTAAGGTGGCAGCCGCCACGAAATAATCACACGGCCGCAACCGAGGTCCGCATTCCTCGTTATGATACACTAGCACAAATTTCCGTAGCGCCGATCTACAAATCACCGGCTGCTTACTTTTACCAAACCGCGACGTTTCTTTCGCAGATATTCGCGATGACTTATCGCCGATCGGGGGTTCCAAGCCGGCGCGCAATTTACGGCCTAACAGAATCTTCGTTTTCGCACGGTGAACGTCTCTCCGTCCCTTTTCCTTGCCCGCTGTGTGCGTTCGGTACACGCGCAATTCGTTCCAGAAAACACAAAGGCTGCCGGACTTTCCGAAATTCGAACCTTTTCTCGATCACGTGCACGCATCGGCAGGGGGCGAAAAATGGAGAACAGAGAAACGCGAGGCATATCGTATAGATCAAAAGAAGTTACTATATCTTTTGCAATACCGACAATGTTATTTCAAATATACCAGCTTCGGACAGGAAGATCACGTCGACAAAGAATTGAGACTCCAAGGAGATTAATTTATGGGAATATTTCAATAACAGGTCTACGAAGAATCGTGGTTTTTAACGTTACCCCTCGCGAAATTCAAATTATCCTTGTCTCGCAAAAATTTCCTACTCAGAACGCGAGTATCTCTCCGAATCGGACGACCTATTGCGTTTGGGATCAACTGGCACAGCAATTTGGCTGAATCTCGTCTACCGTCCGACCGTAACCCGTAAATTAACGTGCGTTCGGTCGTGGCGATCGGCCTGAGAAAAAGAAAAAAACGAAGTAGAAGACGAGAGGAGAGATTCGGTGGACTTACTCTGACCGATGTGCACCCTCTTCATCCACGAATAGATTTTGGGTGGCTCGTTACCGCTGGGATTCGTTTTGTTCGACGTGTTGTTGCCGGTGCTGGAGGTGCTGGAGGTGGAGGATGCTGGCGACGAAGCGGACGACGCGGTGGTCAACGTGGAGCTACCTTCTGCCACTGGTCTGGAACTTCCGCTGGCAGGTGAGGCGGCCGAGGCGGCAACCGACGACCTCGACGAACTTCCTGGTGGCGAGGTGAGGCCTGATGCAGCCTTGCTGGTGCCAGGTGCCACCAGAGGGGTTGGACTGTTTCTCGAGGTGGACGTGGTTAGATCTTGGGGCGAGGCGACGCTCGTGGAGGACGTTGAGTCGGCGTACTTGCAGCTAGATGTGGACGGTGCCGATGGCGCGGATGCGGCCTGAAGAAGCGGCGTCGTCGGATCTTGATGCAACTGCTGTTGAGGATGATGCTGTTGCGGATGATGCTGCGACTGTTGGTGCAAACTGTGTTGCTGCGAGGTGGTCGTCGCGCTTAGCCGGGGCTGCGGCTGCAACTGCGTATAGTCTATCATGCCGGTGGGCGCTGTGTGTTGCATTCCAGAGGCTGGAGTGGCGTAAGCATGCTGAGGATAGTGTTGCTGGGGAGAGTAACACGGTGTTGGATAGCTGGTCGCTGCTGCGTTCGGGTTGTAGTAGTCTCCACCTGCGGGCGATGCCGCCTGCAACGGTTCTCCAGGTGAATTGGCCGTTGCTCGTGGTTGCTGTTGCGTTTGCTGGCCCGCGTAGCACGACGCCAGCGAATTAACGAACTGATAGGAACTCATGGTTCACGCGAGTAGTGCACTCGTCGTCACACTGTTAGCCCGATCGTTCCACACGTGTGTACGGTTCGATATTTCCACGAGAAACAACACCACCAATCTGATCCTTGGTCTTCGAGTGGCGGTAAGATACGCGCACTGTCGTTAAATACGAGAACCTGTCATCGCTGGTCGTTGATTTCACGACAACGTCGACGATAAAAACGAAAACGACGACGACGACGATGACGACAATGATGATGACGACCACGGCGACGACGACGACGGCGACGATAGATTCGACGACGACGACGACGACGATGACGACGATAGAAACGGTAGCATGTCACACTTGGCGGTAATAGAGGAACAACAGTGGCTGTTAGGAGCTATCACTCGGTTAGGAATAAAAACGATCTCACCGTTCTCTTGTTCCTCTGCCGTGTTTACACCTATCGCGGTCCTTTACACGCGGATAAACACGTCCCTAAACGATTCGATAATGAACGAGGGGGATCGCGACGAATAGAAGGAGAGGCAGTCGTGTGCCGGCAGGCGGGCAGAGTCTAAACCGACCTGAGCCGAGTCGAGTTTACGAGGGCCACGTGGGCCTGGGCTATAAAACTGTCTTCTGCTTCTTTACGACCTCACGAGTCGCAATTACCTACAGAGAACTCGTCGAGGCAGCGTGCAGTAGCGCGTAACAGCCGGCTTATCTGGTCGCCCCATTGAAGACGAGACCCCATCCACTTCTTTATTTCTATCTTCCTCGATGATTTGTTCGCACGATGATTTGTTCACCGCTGTGTCTTTTGTAACTGCGTGCACGAAATTCGCGGTGCCGTGTTTACGATGTATCTCCAAAACGTAACCAACGAGTGATGTACGACGCGTTTGTACGACAGACAAGTATTCACGGAAAACCGTGAAAACGTACGCGACGAATGTGGACGACGCGACCGTCGTTGACGACTGAAGACGGAACCGTGGCGAATGATTCTTTCTGTCCGTGATCGGATGATCGGTGTGCCGGTGTACCGATATCACCGCATTAGGGGGTGAAGCGTTTTATTGCCGCGGCTCAGCGTTCACCGTTGCTGTTGCGTGCGCGGAGGGTAGTTGGTATCGTACTGAAGGCCTCGCCACGATCCAACGGAGGCCCGGTGTATGCGGTAGCTTGTCACGTGCCCGAGCTCTCTGCGTGTCAGAGGAGCGCCTCGACCAATCCCCGTCGTTCGTCAAACCTTGATTGGTCTCTCCGCCGGCGTAGGATTCTTCAACCCCGTTCCTTGCGTCTCCGTCGGGTCTGCGTGGTGCTGCTGCTGGCGCTGCTGCTGCTGCTGCTGGTTGTTCGTGTGGTGGTGTTGCCTGGCTGGCTGTTACCCGACGTGACAAGAGCCGACGAGAGGGGTGTGCGAGCAAGATAGGAAATCTGAGGGGTCACAGAGAGGGGATAGCACCGTCAGGGGGGCTAATGGAGAGATATTCGGGAGCCCCGAGGACCGATGGTGGGGCGAGGATTTCTCTCTCCCTCTTTCTCTCTGCCTCTTTTTCTCTCTTTCTTCCACGCCGTCGTTTTCTCCTCTGCAACCTTCTAGCCGCAACGTCACCAAGAAGTAGTCTTCCGCTTACCGTCTCTGCGAGGGGGCAACGCGCGCACGCGCCCCCTTCCGCATACACCCTCGTGCCTCGTCGAAAGAAGGAAGAAGAGGTGGTTCCCCGCGAGATGCTACCGCCGCGTTTTGCTTGATCGCCGATCGTCTCGATCTTCTTCCAATCTCTCGTCCCTTGACACGCGTAACGTCAGCGATACTGCGCGATCGTCGTCATCTTTCGAACATCCACCTTCAACTTTCTCGTACGTTTTCCTCCTTTTGACAAAATCTTCAGGATTCAACGACCATCTGACGACAATACCGGGATTCTTCCTCGTCTCTCGCAACGAAGGAATGGTCACTGCTATCGAGTCACCCGCTGCCGCATTTCGCGTGACCCCGCGATTCAGAAGAGCAGACAGGTCTCCCTAGTCACGGTCGGAAGAAGGGACGCGCATAAGTCAGCCGGCCGACCGTGGCTGACAGTTTTATGAGAGTTTGATAGTCTTCGGCGCAGTGTTCTCCGTTCACGGTGGCAGATGAGGAGAGCCCAGAACGTGTCCGTAGGAGAAACGAGGCTGCTCTCGCTGGCGGAAGAGAGAGGAGAGCCGCTCGAGCGAGCAAGAGGGAAACACGCGCGCACTACGCACCACACTCTTTATTGTCCCATAAATTCAAACCTGTTGCCCATAGCCGAATGAGAGGGACGGACCGAAAGAAGGAACGACAGAGACGGAAGCGTTACGGATAGAGAAAGAGAGATAGAGAAGGTGGAAAGGAGAGAGTGAGGAAGAGAGGAAGAGAAAGAGAGAGAGAGAGAGAGAGAGAGAGAAAGGAAAGCGTGCACGAGGTTAGGAATCCTCTCCCAATCGCGCAATCCGATTGACGCCCCCGTTATCGCACGTACGGCGAACCCGGACGCAACTCGTAACTCACTGAACCGACTGAGCCGGTCGAGAGGAGAGCCTTCGGAGTTGGCGGCTCGAAGCAAGCAGAAGCATGTGTGACGTAGTAGCCAGTTGGTCAAACGGGGGGCACCGCGGGGTGGCGACGTGCCGGTGGGGTTCCGGAGCGTAGGGGACGGCCGAGGAGGCGGAGCTCTCCTTGCCTCTCGCGGATAATTCTTTGCGCTCGACTTTGTCGGGTTTTCTATACATATTTTCTGCGTAATGAAATCATCGCATTCCTGCTTCCCTTTACCCCTGGTCTATCTCCCATTTTCATCTATACTTTATCAAACAGCTGTTATAACATCCAGTCTGCGTTGCATTTCAAACGATAATCGTGAAACTTCCCTTTATCTTTATGATTGCGAGGAAAGATTCTTGCAGAACTATAAATCAGATTACGTTTCGATCGTAGTCGGTGGATTTCGGGGGGAAAAGGAAAACGGGGCGAAATGCGAATAGTATGCCACTCGCTCGCCAGATGTGGCAAGTGCGTTCGTTCCTGTTGAATTGTCGCGCGCGCCCGCCTCCGGCCGCCCCACTCCTTCTTCCGCTTTCCCCTACCAGCGCGCTGTCGCACCCCACCATCGCCAACCAAACTGGCTATCTCTTCCACTTTAAGTTCTCCCGCGGTTGTGTACGTGTACGCGGCCAACCCCACCAGCTCTTCGGTATTCGCCACTTCGGAGCCCGGTATTTGTCCTACACCTACCATCCTTCTAGGCCTCTCTTTCCACTTCGTGGTGGCGTGCCCTGAACGATCGTGCGCGCGCGCGACAACTAACTCGTTCGCCGAGAGAGTAAGAGAGGGAAAGAGAGAGAGAGAGAGAATCAGAGGTTGACAAGTGATCGCGGATCAGACATGGTTCATCCTCACCGCAAAACACCGTCGAGTCGCTGGAAACGCGATCATTGCTGGGACGTTTGCGGATTCGTCACCGCTCCGACGATACCGCTTTGTTCCTGCGTGTACAGGACTTCGGAGTCTGCGTTTCCGGTCTTCTGGAGGCTGCTCTCGAACGAGTTCTGGCGACGAGAACCAGATCGGATTACACCGGATTGAAGTCCATTATTTCGTTGACAGGATTCTAACGAATGTTGATTGGACAGATTAAAATTGAAATTATTTGTAGGAAATTTACAAAAAAATCTCGTTATATTTGATGGGAAAAAGAAATTTTTAATTAGGTTCCATTCCCTTGATTTTATTCTTTTAACAATGTATTATTTTTACAGTCAATTTCCTACTTTTCATAAAAATATGAAATTGGACGAAATGTCATAATTTAGTCCAGTATAAAGCTAAATATTTTTAATTTATTATAAGTTAGGTAATAAAATAGAAATTATGTAAATGATGGAATAGATTAGATTATTCTATCTACTCTCTTCTAAAATATACGATATTATATATAATATAAAGTATAAGTTTAAAAATATAATATTCAATGATACAATTATTTAAATTGTTTTATTATTACAAGTGTTTTACACCTAAAGTGGCTTTATTAGAATTTCTAATGGGACGAACGGAAAAACAGAGTGGACGAATGGCGAAAGAAAACACCATCAAAGCGGCAGCGTGGTCACTCTATTCCCTCTTTGATGGTGTCTCTTTTTCGCGTGCCATTCGTCTAGTATTTGTCTCTCTGTTCGTCCCATTAGAAACCGATTTCTTCTCCCTATGCCTTTGGCTTTCATTTATTCTGAAATACATCGACGTCCTGACGTGATGACCTAGTTATCTTTCCAAAATCACCCAAAAACGTATGTACATCGACTCTTTGAATAATATTCACAATATATAATAATATTTTTTAGATGTTAGACGGTATATTGTAGAGTATGATTATTACATATTTACATCTTAATCATATTATCAATAATACAATTAAGATATAAATATGTAATAATCTTACCAGATAAATTCAAAATCGAATAAATTATTCGAAGAATCGCGTCGATGTACATACATTTTTGGGTGAAGAGATAACCAAGTCATCACGTCAGGACGTATAAATGTATTTCAAACTGACGTAATGAAAGCCCCAAAGGCATAGGGCGAATGTTTCTAATGGGACGAACAGAGAAACGATGAGTGAATAGATAGCGAGCGAAAAGGAGACACCATCAAAGCGGCAAAAGAGTGACACGCGGCTGTTTCTCTGTTTCTCCGTTCATCCCATTAGAAATTCTAATAAAGCCATCTCAAGTGTAAAAAACGTATCGGGTCCCCCATGAATCACGTGTCGCAAAGCAGAGCCGCCAGGACACGTGTATCTGTGATGCCTTTCTCTTCACGACGCGAATAGGGATGCGGTTTGCTCGGTGTTTTCTTTTTTCCGTCCTCAGACTTCATGACTTCTTTCCCCACCAATATTCGTTGTTTATCTAATGAAAATCAGTCTGTGAACAAGTAATTATCGTCATTAATACTGGTTTTTAATCAGTGAATACATTTCTTGTGATTTATAGGTGGAAATGATTTGTAAAATAAATAGATATATGTATAGTAGAGAAAATGTAATAGTATATATTTTTGAATTCTATATTTTAATTATCATTATATTATTATTATTAATCATTATTATGATTATTATCACTATAGGTATAATTTTTTTTAAATTTATTTTCATTTTGGACAATGAATTAGAATTCGAATAAACATACTGAACTTACCAATGACAAAAAGAAAATCATCTTTGATTAATACTCCTTGCCTTCGTCATTGATGTTTAATGTAGAAAACTGTAGATGAGTAAATACATTCGAATAATTTTCATTGTGAAATCATTAAAATGAGAAAAATAAGAAAAAATTATGACTTTGTCTTTTTAAATTTGAGCACATCAATTCTTTTTGATCATTTATTTTATGCGTTTTACAAGATGTTTGAACTTAATCATTATTTTTAATTTATTTTAGCGTATCATTGTCTTTTTAAGATGTATGTTTAACAAAGAATACAATGATCATGATGTACTTAAATTTAAAGAGAGTCGTAATTTTTTCTTAGTTTACAGACTTTTGTGACATCAAAAAAATTAATAATATTTCACATCATTCTTCTGCATTTTTACATTTTTTGATTAGAATTAAAGAAACCTCGATAATAATTTTCTTTATTAATTTGTTTTATTAATATGTTATAATTTATATTTTGTCTAATAAGTGGAGTATCTTTTACATTCAGTAGACCAATTAATAAAGCAAATTATTGTCAATATGTTCTTTAATTACAATCAAGAAAATGTAAAAATGCATGTCCGGTAGACAAATTGAATATTTTGTAAATAACACAGAACGTAGCATAGAACATAGACCATAGAACATTCAAAAATAGTCCATAGTTCAGTTGCAATAATTTTTCCTTGATAATTCTGTGACCTAATGACAAAGATTAAGTCTAATAAAATGTTCAAAAAAATAGAGAAAAGCATCTTGTAAACTCATTTAGAAACAGATGAGGAGAGAAAAGCAAGAAAGCGGAGAGAAAAAAAGAATATATCTTCAATTCATGGCCGGCACGCGGCTAACTTTGAATTAGAAGTTCACAACTAAGACGCGTAGCAGAAAAACCAATACGTATCCGCGTGCCGGCCATGATAGATTACCGGAGCTATGGGAAACTATCTGTCAAGCACCATATCGACCCTCGCCCTCCTCGTCCAACCCATAGAAGGTTTGCTCTCGCTACCAGAGAAAGAGCACAACCCTGGAACGAACGATGGTAGCCGAGCAGAAACCTTCTATACGAAACCTTTACTCGGTCCCCCTTTTTCCTCTTTCTTTCACCCTATTTTTATCTCTGTTTCTTTCTCTCTTTCAGTTCTTCAGCAGAATCTATGGTGGAGGAGAGCCATTTGCGGAATATTCACAGTTTCAGAATCTGTGGAATGGTTCTCTTTCACCATAGATTGCTGTGTTTGCATAAGAAAAGAATGCTGGCGTGCACGAGAAATTCTACGCGATAAGGGAAAACCGCGATCCCTATTAAAATCCTTCATCGACGTCTCATGACGACACGACTCACGATTCATCGGTCTCGTTTATTGAGTCGTTTTCATGCGATTGCTGGTAGTTCATTGACGAGGATCGAGCCTTCGTTGGCGGTCTGAATTAATTCTAGAGAAAAGATTTCCTTTCACAGCAAGTATGTATCCTTGCTGTAAAAGGAAATCTTTTTTAGAATTAATTCAAACCGCCTGCTGCTGATTATACTGCGAGAATTGCTTCTGCTTTTAATATATTTTAATGATAAATAGTTTCGTGAATTATTGAGTATCATACGATAATAATTTATTTTCAATATAAAATTACTTTACGAAATCGACCTTTCTTTGATCTAAAATCTTAGGAAACAGTTGAAAAAGAAAATAAATTTTTATCGCAAGGGAACTTGATTTTTTTATGTTAAAGCAACGATGATAGTTATTCAAAGTCAACAAATACAACTTATATTAAATCTATTGTTTATAACGATTTCCGAGAGTGTTAAATTAAATATTCAGTAGAGACAATATTAAATGTTTTCATTAGTTAATTAAACGATATAAGTACTACTACTAAAGAAAAAAGAATTGCTTAGAATTTCAATAATTACCAGCGCGATTTTAATGTAAAAATAAAATCAAGTTCCTTTGTGATAAAAATCAATGTAAAAAGAATCAAATTGACACAAAGTTAGATTATAACTTCGCGGGTTGTAAAAGATTGTTCAAACGCACACTTCACTTTCACAGAGCCAAGTCAATGAATACCCAGAAATTCGTAAACACACAAAATTCGACGATCTCTGCAGAAGGATTCCAATTGCAAATTAAACAAAGGAAATTATTCCAAAAAATGAAGAACATTATAGACGCTTCGTACACGCGCGAGGAACGTTTTCAGCCATCTTGTTCTGTGTGAACGGCGCAGCTGCCGAGCATGTCCCCACTCTGCTTCATCCCTTAACTTTTCGACAGTATAGGTATAAGCCGGCAATGTGAGGAGTCGAAAAGTTACGTGTTAAAAAAATGTTTCGAACTGCTATCTATCCTGTTTAATACTCTAAGATATTTATAATTAGAAACTTCTCTTGACAAAAAATTTTTTAAATCTATTTTCTCAAATTTTTTTTTTTTTTTTGTTAATTTTATCTCAAAGATATTTTTGTTCAATCTCTTCATCTATTAATTTTATTTCATAGATCACGCTCACACTTGCGACCCTTTCTGATCAAAATCATTACTTTTCATTCGAGACTACGATGAATTCTTTTTCATCGATAACAGTAGAGTTGGAAACGCCAAAATGTCGGTCTTGCAAATCACTGTTTCCGAAACCGATCTTGAAGAGGCGTAACGAACGCGGAATCAGCGAACAGCGCTGACTCAGCGTCATTAATCAGTCAAATATGAATTTTAGTGAACACGTCAAAATATTTTTAAAACGAAGCTTCTCTTTGAGCTGCGTTGTAGCGCAAACTGATCGACAAGAACCGTACCGAGCGAAATGCGGCGTGAACGACCGCGCTTTCGAGATACCTGAGCCACAGGATGCTCGGCTGTTTAGCTCATTTAGTCATAAATCATAGCGGTTGCAGGGTCAGCTGGCTCGATCTTGTCCTGAACACGTCCCTCGCTCACAATATATACCGAAAGCCGAACTTTATTTTAACTGTGAAATAAATAAAAATGACCAACAGTGCAAGATAAAATTCGATTATTAGTAAATATTCTGCTTATTTGTTTCACAGTCTTGCGAATCTCTACGAGATAAATAAGCAGAATATTTGTTACTAAATTGTTGCGCATTTCCGCTATGTATAGGGATAATAACATTTAAATTTAACATTTAAATTTAAATTTATTACAGCGGAAATTAGCTAATATTGTTAAAAAATAAATTAATCCTCCATAACATCGTGTAATTTAAAACTAGCACGTCAAAACTTAAAATATGCAGAAAAATAACATTTAAATGAAAAAAGAAAGAAAAGAGAAAAATTATTAGAGAATCACAGCAATCTGTTTCAATTTTGACAATAATATATTGCAAATTCTTCTTTATAAAATCCTCCCTAACATTGTGGATAACCTGTTTTTCATAGTCTACGTACATCCTCGCAACTCGGCTTTGTTTCATGACTGTTTGTTATAGTGATCATAGTTATTATACAGTCTTTGGTCTTGCTGTTGGTGGAGCTGATAGTGACCAGGATGCATATTGTGCGACTGATCTTGTTGAACGATAGGAGTTGGTTCATTGGGGATTATCGATGTAGATGGGCCATTTTGAGTTACCTGGATGTTATCTGCCGAATTTATCAAATCGTTTGACTTCTTCGCTTTCATACGTCGATTTTGAAACCAGATTTTGATCTGACGCTCGGTTAAATTGAGATTTCGCGAGATTTCCATCCGTCGTTTGCGGGAGAGATAACAATTAAAGTGAAATTCCTTTTCGAGCTCAAGGGTTTGGAATCGACTGTATGTTTGTCGAGTTCGCTTCTGTCCGTTGCTCATGATGTCTAAAATCGTGAGAATTTATGATTTATAATTACAATTAGTGGAAGTAAAAATTAATTATTCTCGTAGCATTCGATAAATTTAAATCCATGCTTCTGTGACATTTAATATTATCTTAGTAATATTTATCTGTAGTAATATTTAACAATAATTCTAAATAATTCTAATTATTTCCTATATTATTAATGTAATTATAATACAATCCCCTACAACATTTAAATATACGCCCCATTGTTTTCTATATACGTTTAAATCTACGCCCCGTTATTTTTTGTAATATCGAAATCTACACCTCATTGCCTTCTGTAATGTTTAAATTTACGTCCCATTTTCTTTCTTATAATATCCTCAATAAATCTACGCGCAATTGTGTCCTACGTCACGTGTTTAAATATATTCCATCACAAAATCTTTCTACAAATTTAAAACTATTATTTTCTACGTATTATATTCGAATATATTCACTTTGATAACTTCAAGATTCGCCGAATTTTGATCAACATGCAATTATCTTTTATATGCATAATTTTGTTATGAAAATTCTTGTTTACAAACCATTGGAAGATTGCATCCACGGATAAGTCACATACTTTTGATCATATTCGTCCACACTCGCTTGTTCATCGCTGTTTGGGCTCGGCATCTCGTTATTATTGACAGTGGCATATCTATCGTATGGTTGCTGTTCATAGTTTTCGCCTAAGCTGGGCATTATCATCGATGGGACCATCGATGGGCTATTACTGGAACTGGGTACTGTAGGATAACCACGGTAGTTCATAAAGTATCTATGCGGCCCTGGCGGTTGTTGAATTTGTTCTTGAGTGTTCGACGGATATCCAACAGTTGGCGATGCACCATTAATCGCAGTCGGAGAGCATGAAGGATATTGACAACAAATAGGAGGCACATTTTCCATATTCGTCGGTATCGTTGGATTTTCAGCGAAGTGGTTCATGTAACCTTGAACGGTTTTTTTTCCATTACGTAAAATAGTCTCCAGGATGCTTGGATAAGATAAGAAATCCTGGCTTTGGCTGCAATTTGGATAGGCGGATACCTGTTGATTTACCATTTGATATCCTACTGGCGCAGGATGTACACTCTGTTCCTCGACTCCAATGGATTGATAATCCCAGTAATCGGTTTCATTCTCGGCGGCATATGCTGAACCGATCATTTTGATGAAAAAGCTATGTACACGGCGTAGCAATTGAAACGAATTATCGGAGACACTGACACATAAATGATTTCGTTATTGGAACTTGTTAAAATATCACACGAAACGTTCAATCGTCAAGCGCGCACCGAACGATCATGCCAAATATTTCCAATTCCGTTTTGCAGAGCACAGATTAACTTCGCAAGTCAGCACAAGAACTTTCCCTTCACACTTTTCACGGGCACTGAGAACTGTTTCTTAAGAACAACAAGAATAGACTGTTAGTCTAGCAGACTTCTCACTAGGCTAGCTTCCAAAGTAATGAAACCCGTGACGATTTTGACCATCTATAGTACATGGGGGGCCCACGTGCCAAAAAGGGACACCCTGGCAAACTTTCACTGGTTTATTACTGTACTATGCGGACATAGGCGTATCCGAGCGGAGGTGGAGGGGACGGGAACGAGCCACCCTTGGTGTACCCTATGTGACACCTCGTGGAACTTCGTAGCTACCGCAGGGGAGTATTCTCGTTCTTTCTTTCTTTCTTCTCTATGTCGCCTCCATCAGCTGGCTTTTGATTCAAAGTTACGGCCACCCCCGATACACGCACTCGCTTTTCGATCTGTGCCGCAATCCCCTCCCACTGTTAACGCTATTCACACAAAACCCATATTGGCTTCCTATGCGCCCGACCTCGCACAATGTCCTTCTACCATGTGTGCATCCCCCTCGGTCTGCACGCACCCCGTTGGCCTATCGCTGCGGAACAACCCCACCGACTCGATGCCGCCTCGTCAGATTCACTGATAAAATTGAATAAATTGATAAGCGTGGTTTAACGACTTGACCCTCCGAGCGAAGGTCAAATGTGATAATAGAATCTTTCTATTGTAATTTCGCGTTTTGATTATGCAAGAGGGTCGATGTGATTCAAAATGAAGCTGATTATAGTCGAAAGACGTATCCTTGTAAATAACAGTTAAGTTGAAACTGTTTCGTGAAAGTCTGACCGATTAACGTTCTCACTATGACTAGCTTCTCTCCCCTTGTAGCCTACTTTATACCCGTTATAGGCGATGATAGCCAATCACATTTGAAATATGGGCCGGTATTACCTTGATATAAATTGTTAAAGTCACGCGTCGATCGGTTGGAATGTACTTTGAAAATAAACAGACTCAACGGTCTAGACTATAACAATAATAAACGCTCCCGACACAATAGAATCAGAGGAGCGCGGTGAACGTTAGAACTTCTTGTCAACACGAAAAGGAATACGAACCGTTGTTCGCAAAAAACTTAAAATTTCGCATAATTTCGACATAAGAGATCCTGACCTGTTCTTTGTCTATTAACAAATTCTACATACAGTAAAAAACGTTACTCGAAATCGCCGAGTGTCGTTAACACAATGTTTCCGCGAAAGCGGAGCTTGCGATTGAAATAGATATTTCGAGCTGGTAAACAAAGAACGTGCGGCGAAGCTAGACGCAGGCAGTCTTGCGAGTGACGTCTCTTTCTAGAAGCCTGACCGGCGACAATTAATCAACCCTGCTAAACCCTCTCTCTTTCTCTCCCCCTCCCTCCTCTTTCTCTTTCTTTACCATTTCTTTTTTCCTCCTTTTCCCTCTCCTGCTATATACACGTGCATTTAGCACGTCTCTTCTGCCCCCCCCCCCCCTCACCTTCTGTATTTTCATTAATCCCACTTTCGTTCCGGCGCAGTTTCGTCGAGGGGGAACGAGGAGGAGGAAAGACCGAGGAAAGCTGAAGAATTATGAAAGTAGACTCGACCACTTCCATTTAGCGCATCAAATCGAATCGAGATCTCTTTTCTGCAATTCTTCTCGAAATTACAATCGAAGCTTTGGATCTATTGTTATTATTATTATTATTATTTTTTTTTTTGTTAACATTCTGTCGAAAGATAAATTTGCTTTGACATGACGTCGGCTACACAGAGATTTACTAGCAAAATATAATACTTATATTTTATTTATATTTCGTAAAGTTTTAGTAACAATATTAATTCAAAAATGTTCTGATAATATTAACTCAAAGGTGTCCCGACATGTCGTCGAATTCACAACCAGTTAATAGACCAATTAATTAAACCGTGCTCGCTGATAAATCTTAAATTACAAAATGAGCTGACAAATCTCGGTTGATCGAGCCACCTTGCCCAGCTAAAAACTGGATATTAAGTGAGACACAATGATGGAGCAGACGCTAATGATTAGCTTACGTCTATAGAGCCGGCTCCGAAATAATTATCGTCCACCGAAAGATAATAGACGGCCATGCGAACAAACTATAAATAGTAAAGCAACCCCGAAAAAACGTGATTGATGATTCGTTCGACGTGGTGACCAAAGTCTACGGGGACTCCAGCCGGCTGATCAGGATGGACACGCGTCCACGCCGAATACAAACGGACATTTCGTGTATGTAGACACGTTTCCACGCACACCAGCACGCAAATGATGCTGGGAGAACAGTGTTGGATCCGGGCTTGCGTGCTCGACGGAGGAATGGCCACGATGATAATAAATAATAATCCGCAAAGGGCGATACTTGTGGGAAGAAATCGAGGGTCCGGGGAACGTTTCGCGAACTGTAAATGATTTTACCTACTGACTTAATTTTCCTTATTCGCGGCAACCTCTGCCACGAGACTTGTTGTTGAGGGACGCGTGAGAGATGGGGAGATTTTAGATAAAAGGAAAGGTGATATTTTTGATCGGCGAAAGGCAATGGATATCTCGATCGTTGATTTTGACGTTGCTTGAATTTTTGGAATGTGGCAACGGAAAGGATTTTGGATGAATGCTGGATTCTTGGATCTCAGTAATTATTACTTTAGTTTCCAAGGGTTTCCTAAAGTTGTAATTATTTGATAATTGTCGTGATTATTTGAAAATTGCAATGATTACAAATAGACGTCTCGAAGATTCATGGAGTTAGAGTAGTTTCGTTTCGAAACAATAAAGATCCACTAGCAACCTCAAGAAAAATCATGATGAAACAAAAAACTTATAAAAACCGTGTAACACGTTGACAAAGGATATAAAAATATAACAAATATGCGACCTTTGATCTCCGTAAGTGCAGGAACAGATTTTCGAAAAATAAAAAACCTAGAAGATAGAGGGCGAGTAAAAGTTTTATTGCTCATTGTCACGAAGCGAGGAATTTTTGAAAAGAGGGACGTTATGTCTCTCGGTATACCTGACTCGGCACGGGCAACAGCCGGGAATAATTTTGTTTATAGTCTTGAACCGTTAAGGTGAATGACACTGTCAAACACGACGTAGAAATGAAGATACTGTAGCTGCTAACAGCAAAACTTTTTTTATCGGCCGACCATAAAAAGGCGAGGATAATGCGTAAATAGGCGTCTGTTTTATCTTGTTCGACTGATATTTATGAAGCAGGCTCATTAAATGTAAAGATGCATTTGTATTTAGCTGCAATACAAATCCCAAGTATCGTTCAGGTAGTTTCGTTCACGTTGTGTCATGTAGAACTTCTCGTCATTTACAATTAGTCATAAACAGGAAGAGGATTATCCGTGGTTATCGCGGCTCGTTGTAAGTCTTGCGACGAAAGATTATGCCGAATTACACGGTCAAAGGTATTTACATCTTAAGGAAATTTGTGCACAAGCTATCCTTCGAAATCCCCGGTACCGTTGTCGACAAATCCTTTATTTTATGTGAAAGGACTCGCAACACGTGCATTAATCACTGAGAATTTTGCAAAATTCCAAGCAATTTTCGACTCAGGGATGATCGAATTTTCACTTGCAAAGAGATCAATGTGAATCGAACTTTAATTGTCATCTACAATGTAATAAACAGTGGACGTACAAAGTATTCATTCACACTGATGATTTTCAAGCAAATTTTGATATATTTATCTGATTTATCTGTATTGTTCAAAAGTCTGGAGCATCCTGTCAATCACAAGTAAAACTATGTTATCGAGGATATTAATTTATAAACTGTTACTATTTAAGTTACATTTATGATTAAAATGACACGGGATTCGTGTATCTGTTTACGTTTTGGACATGAAATAAATGTCCGTTCGAAACTTTTGGCTGGTAGTGTATATAGTACGAACGAGAACTAATGGTAGAATAAAATAATCATTATAATATCAAAGAACATTCAGAACATTTTTAAAATGTATCGCTGATTTTTTGTCTCCTTAAAGTAGGTTCGCGTGATTTGAACGTTACTTAAAATTTATCATAAATTAACGATAGGATATTTATCTCTATTACTAGGAAATTAACAACGTAGAAACGATCGAGACTATCCACACATCTGTGAACGGTTGGGAACGAAACCAGGGGGGCGAACCAGTTACTTTGAATAAGGACTCTTGCACGCAGGACAAATTAAATTGGGGCTCCGCGTTGCGTGAAATGGCGCGCGGCATCTCCGGGGGTAACATATGTGTGCCCTCGTCCGCCTCGTGTACCTTCCACGAAAGGGACGGAATTTTCGTTGCTGGGGAGGGCAACGTTTGCGACCATTTGGGAAAATTGGGAATATCGGGATCAAGCCAGACGGTCTCTATTATTGTTCGATTGATTTATATTTTGTTTGCGTTGCTCCACGGCTGACTTTATGGCTGTTTGCCTCCGTGCTGTTCGTTTTGCGAAAATTCTCTTGTTTAAAGTAGAAGGCTCGGAAGGCTTGACGTGGATGCAGAGAATAAACGGGAAGAAAGGGGCATGATTGACGTGATGAATCGATACGTAAAAATTATTTGAAGTCCGATGAAAGTGATATTGGAATACGGAAAGTGCGGACGTGTTAGAAAATTCAAAATGGTCGCATGCGTGGAGAATGCTAGGGATTTAATGGCAGTGTTACAGGGCAAGAGGAAAGCAGGCGTTACGGGGCGGAGCGGAAAAACCGCTGAGCAATCGTTCAAAGGACCGCCGCGTCGATCTCTCGGTCAAAGTTGCGGGAAATTGGAGCAAAAAGCTTTTCTCACGTGTA